AATGCCTTTAATTATATAAACCCGATTCCATTTCCATCCTTCTAAAAGTTGTGCCACTTTTTGACTGAAGATTTTTCTCTGACTTAAAGTAGAAAAATAAAACTTGGAAGAATTTGCTTTCTCAGCATTTTTTTTTTTTTTTTTTTACACTTGAATCTCAGGTAGAAAAACTGTGATGATAACAACAACCAGCAAATGCTTGGTAGAAAATGACTATTATTTCAGTTGAATATAAGTACAATAAACAAATGTACTTCAATGTCTGCCTCTTTGTCTCTGTTTTACTGACGTTTAGCATTTGTCACATTACTGTTTTTGGGTTCGAGAATGGCTGTCAGCTCATTCTAAGGCACCTCTACGTTTTACAAGGAATTCCTTTTTTTTTTTTTTTTACCTTTTAGAGGTGAGTAGACTAAGAGGACCACTATTTCACATTTTTTACACAAGTGAAATTAGGAAGTAGTCATCCAAGAAATTACTTTAGTAAGTGTAAATAATTACAATGTAAAGTGGCTTCTTAATTACGGAATATTTGATTTAATGTTTATAAATTACATATTCAGAGAAACTGTGATGTGAAATTTTTTGTATTTCAAAATATAAAATGAAATACTAATAAAAAGAGTTTGCCCAGAAGAAACATTTTTTTAAATAAATTTTATTAATCTTTAAATTGGGTAACATTCATGTTAGGAAAGGGAAGGCTAAGCAAGTTTTCTGCTGTTATTATGTGCAAGTGTAATTTAACTTTATCTCTGTAACTCATGATGGGTGGAGTAACCAGAAAATGTACAAGAATATTACTTAAGTAAAAGCAAAAGGACAATAACATCCATCTACTCTTAAATTTAGTATTTTTTTTTTCTCAAACCATTTACCCAGTGCTTGGACGGGTTTCTAATATATAGATGCGTGTCACCTGCATATTTATGACACCTTCCCTTATTGAGTTTAAGCCAGTAGTTCTCAAACATATTCCTCCAGTACCACTGACCTTGGTCTTAGGTGTTTCCCTGCCTCCACACACCTAATTTAAATTAATGGTTTTTAAAAGGCCTTTGCTACCCTTGGTGTCCGCTGAGGAGCAAATCAAATTTATATAATTTGATACTTACTGTGGGTCCCAAGGACCAATTTTAAATGGACTCTTGGGGAACGCCACGTGATTTTCTAGTGTCCAATGTAAAGTTACCTACTGACAAAAAATACTTCAATCAGGTGTTAAACAAGTAAAGTGCAGTATCACAAAGACCAAAATTCCCTGCCTTCCAATAAAATTAAGTGAATGTCAGTGTTGAATTCTGCACCCAAGTCCAGTAATACCAGCACTGTGGTTTTTCCACAGTCTGTTTTAATGCAGAGGTCACTGAACACCTTGACAAGGGCTGTCTCTGCACTGCGGTGAGCGTGGGAATCTGACTGGAAGTTGTCTAAATGGATGGTGATTGTTAGGAATGTATTTAGTAGTTTAAACACACATTTTTTTTAAATAATCTTACTGATAAAAATGGGATTGAGATGGGTCTAACTTGTCCAAGCTGGTTTTTTTTCCGACACCGTTTTGATAATTGCTGTTTTTAGGGCCTGTGGAAAAACAAAGAAAAAGGATGTGTTTATTACAAGTTTAATTTTATTCAAAAAAAGGAAAAAAAATCTTTTTCTACTATTTCTTTTACTAGTCCTGTCACATAGTTTTTTTTTTCTTAAACATACCAGACTTATTCCAATGATCCCTTTGTATGAGGTGTTGATGACCTCTGAACTGTTTTAAACAAAATGAAGAGTCTGATAACAGAAGAAACAAAAAACGATGGCTGTGTCCGAGTCCCCGCCCTGATCACTATATAGGGCACTATATAGTGGTTATGCCATTTTAAATGCGTGTCCGAATGTCTATTGGATGAAAAAGTAATGGACTCTAAATTTCCCATAGTGCACCTTGAAAAGTAGTGATCATCTATGGTCTGTTTAGCACAAAGGCACGTCATGATAGATTAGTGCTGAATAAAGTCCTGATAAAGATATTTTAGTATACAGAATTGCACAGATCGGTATTATAGCCAAAATCCAATCATCAATGCAAGAATTACATTTTATCCAGTTTATAGATCTGTAATCTTTATGTTTACATTGTCATTTAGCTTATATAAACAGTCTGTCTTGTGTTGTTATCCCTGTCATCAGCATGTTTGAGTGGTTGCTGTGGGAACAGTGCACAGTAGGCTGCAGGAGAGAGCAGTTCGACAGAAGACCGCTCGCCGTGCTGGTGGAGGACGATGGCCCAAAAAATGTGTATCTGAATTCTGCTTTTTATTTGTTCCAGTTTAAATATATTTAGTATCTGTAACATGATGCATTGGCAGCCAGAGATGATTATAAACCAGCTGCGTAAAGCATCTCAGTTGTTGAAGATTTGCTGGGAATTTTTAGAGCATTGTTTGCTTAAACTAATTGTTGTTTCGGTAACAACAGCAGGGCCCCCTTTCCCCTCCCCTTCTTCTTTTTTGCACCTCTCTGCTCCTCTGGAGAGTTACTCGTTTCTCACCCTGAATCCCTGCTCAGTCTCCTTCCTGCTGACTCGGCTTACAGGAGACGCAGCGTTTAGGGAGGAGAGGGTGATTCTTACCTTAACAGACAACAAAGAGGTGCTGCTGCCCTTTAATTGTGCTCATCTTTTCCAAACCGGGACTTGACAGGTCTTTACTAACCTTCTTGAGAAGAAGGGTCACGGAGCCATGACTCATGAGCTGCAGAAAAACATTGTTTATTTAGATAACCGGTGCATCCTTTCAGCACATTTTTGCACCTGCAGTGAGTATAGGATATCCTGCCAAACTCAAAACAAGCCATGTGACCCTTTCACACCTCGAAATGCCTGACGCACCTAGCTTTAAAAAAAATAAGAAAAAGGGGTAGGGCAAATTTTGCAGTGGTTTTTATCCACTTAAGCCATTAGGCTCACAAAATAAGACACCAGGGTCATACATAAGGGACCATATTCTGTTATTTCTTCTGTCCAAATTACTCAAGTTGTTGCTATTTCTAAACCCATTTCTATAACACGCATCTCAGCTTTTTCCCTTTTAAGTAACTATACAGCTCAAAGGTATATAGTCACCTTATTTGACACATTTTAAATCATACGCCAGTAACTAACTCTTGTTGCCTAACAACGTTTTTATGACAAATTATGTCATCCTGCTGGTGAGGTATTTGTTACATTTTGTCCTTTAAGCTGCGTTTTTGCTCAGCTTGTTAATCAATATACCCTTTCTGTCTATATTTACCATAACGACATAATCTGGGATTACAAGTTAAACTGGGATTACATCCTTGTGCATGCGTATAATTGGTCAACAAACTGAAGGAATGGAAGCGAGTGAATGGGGAACTCCCAGCATAGTAAAAAAGCTAAAAGTCCAGGAAAACGTTTAAAAAGGTGAAGACTTTTTTTTTTTTTTAGAGGGGATAGTAATTGAGTTGCACTGGGAAAACAGTCTGACTGTTGAAGCTAAAGCTCAGGATGCATTCTAATGTCACTATGAAGTTGATAGACATAAGTACATGTCCTAAACTAACAATCCTACTGGTGTTAGCAAAGATGTCTAGCCCTATCCTCTGATTTCTCGGTTTTCTCAGGTATTATAGCGTGGTATGGAATTTTATAGTAGCTGAAGAAATGGCCACCATCTGGCATGCTATGGTACTGCAGGTAGATGGCGCCATGTCTGTTTACGCCCGGTGGTGGGGTTCCATTTAGGCTCAGGAAGGAGGATAAAAACATGTATCAGGGTGGATGCTTAGAGTATATTGTCTGATTTAATAAAATTCAACTGTATTTTGGTCTTTTTATATGCATATAACATGACTTTGTACCTTTAATTAATTTGTTTTGCTGTTATGTCCGACATGCCAGTCGATAACAAAGCAGACACTTCCTGATACTAAGTCCTACATACACATGTGCCATTTGAGTGCAGTTGTATTCACACCTTCAGCTAGAGTAATCCTTTATTTTGCTTCAACCAACCTGCTTTCTTCTCTGAACAGCATCCTTGTCAACTGCTGAGGAAAGCATTCCTCACAGCATGATGCTGCCACCATCAGGGTTTCAGGCAGTGCTGACAATTTTTTTTTTTAATGTATTTATTTTTTTGTTTTATTCCTTTATTCTTTGCCTCCATGACTGCCTACTGTGACTTTGCTCTAGAACCTCTTCTGCTTTCATATGTGTGCTGGTCCCTACATAGATGAGGAAAACGGTAATCAGGACTCATTCTTGGATTTCTGCCCCACCTGCACACTCTTGGCCATCTCCATCCGTTTAGATTAAGCTGTTAACTGGTCTCCTCCCCAAGAGGTACGTTTTACCTCCAAATTTGCAGCCTCATTGATAAATTTTAGACTTTTGAAGATCATTTTAGGTGATATTGGTTTGGCCAGTTTACAAGTTAACGCCCATGTCTCGTTGGCCCTGCAGGGGTACCGTCCTCATTCTATTTGAAGATGATGGATCAAATGGAGCTCAAGGACATTTTCAAAATTCACTGACGGGTGTGCTGTGTTTCTTGAACTACTTTGTTCTCTAATACACCTTTCTAGATTATTACAGGAAGTAATTTACTAATAAAAAGACTTAAAAAATAAAAGGAATTTTATTCTGTAAGCCTGAAAACAAATTTTCAACACTTCTTTTTATAGGTTTATTCAAATGTAAATTTTTAAAACCACATATTAATATCCTTTCATTGCACAAAGATGCAGAACTCTGTGAAAAATGTATTTTAAGAAATGAATATGCATCCATCCGATCCTCCTGAATCCGTAGTGCAGTCACCGCTTTGTGTTCCTCCTAGCTTTTACGAGGTTGTTTTTTTTCCTCGCTGCAACAGCATGTTTCACACCTATCTGCACATGCACTGCCTTAAGTGGAGAAGGTAAACTGAGTGAAACCTACACATGAGCATCTCGATCCAAATAATACACCTACATATCCCATGCATATGGGACACTTCTCTCAGTTTTATTATTTCCAAGCCACTTCCTTTATCGTTACATGCAGTGCTCGATGTGTTTCCATACATGTCTTGTTCTACACGCAGCAAAAGAATGGACATCATCTAGCACTGCTGCTTTGATGATGTGACTCAACTTGTTCTGACATGGGCTTTCAATGTGTCATGTGTTCACACACAGCTGCTCACAGCCCGCCTCTCAGGGAGGAACCTTCATTTGCAGAAGAGCTTCAACCTTCACGCAGCTAAACTTGAAAGATGTTTTCTTCCATCTGAGTGAGTTAAAGATGCCAGTGCACCGCTGCTGCAGTTCTTATTAAACTGATGAAATGGACATGGTGGACGTGGTGCACAGATGAAGGAAAGACTGAAGAGTGAGGTGTAAATAATTATGGAAACTATGAGCTTCTTGTTAAAACAACCTTCATTACTGGTCTATGTACAAAAAAAAACAAGACAACAAAACAAGCCCCGTCCACCGTTAGGTACGACTTTCCTCTTCAGTCATCATGATGCAAGGATCTCCCCTGGTCCACTGCTCTTTAGCATGGATGTCACAGAGCAGGACGTCTGTACTCACTGAGAGGAGCACCTTGATGAAGACGTGTCGTGATCACATATGGAATCCTTGAGTCTTCCTCTAATGAGTCTAACAATGCATAATAGTGTTACATAATAAATAGTGTTGGTCCTCTGGTGTTGTGGGGGCAGCTTTGTCTGGGGGTTTCAGTCCTCTGAGGTCACGTCGATGTCCTCGGAGCTGGCCTGTTTGGTGGCGATGCGCCACCTGTTGATGTGGTGGTTCCCCTTCTTCTTCTGCTGGCTGTCCGGACCCTCCTCCTCCAGCTTCTGACGCTTGTACTTCGTCCGTCTGTTCTGGAACCACACTTTCACCTAAGCAGAAGGAACATTTGGTTTGATACATATACATTTTATTAATTCATAACTGATTGAACACTTTTTCTGACGTTATTTAATAAATGAAATATAAGTCTCTCTGGTTTCTAATTAATTCATTTATACTTTCTGTATGAATAATTCTTCTTCAGTTGATGGCTGCACACTTCAAATATATATATATATATATATATATATATATATATATATATATATATATATATATATATATATACACATCTAAATGATATTACAAAAGTTTACAGGCATGTTATGTTGCCTTTTTTTTTCTTATCTTAATTATCATTATTATCAGTGCCGGTTTATTATAATTTTGTATTTACTTTTTTTTTTATGTAATTCAGATTTTTTTGTATTCTTCCTTTTGATTGAATTAAATTATTTTAACATTTAAATTTATCTTTTTTTTTATTATTTTGTATGCTTTACTTTTGGAATTAAGATGTTTTTCTATTTTTTTCTGATTATTTTTTATTTTTTATATAAATACAGTATATTATGATATTTGAAATTTTTTATTCCTGTTAGCATTATTATGTTATGGTTTTCTATATATTTAAAAGTTAGATTCTATATTCTTATTTTAGGGTACTATATTTTTGCTCTTTTTTATTCTGATATTGCTTTTTTTTAAGGTTTTAAAATATTTTATTGCACTGAAAAAAAATTGGAGTACCATTTACTTGGAAAAAGGTAAGTACATTTTTCCATATAGAAATGCTTGGTAAATCTAAGAGGAGTAAATTTTACTACCTGTTATCAAAAAGGATCTACTTTTGTTTAGCTATAAAATTTTACTCAACTCATATTTGATTCAATTCCAAAACTGAAGTGAAAAGTAATGATTTTTCTTTGCTTTATTTTGAATTAATATTTACCTGAAGTTTACTCAACTAAGCTAATGCGCAACTATATATTATTTTCCTTTTTTTTTTTTTTTTTTTTTTTTGCTTTTAATTTATAAAAATCATTTAGTAAAACTCAATAAAACGTTACACCATTACCAAATCAGGCTCTGGCTGTTTGACTTCAGTAATTTCTCAGTGTCCAGTTCAGACAGTTACTGTGCATTCTTTAAGTCAAACAAGTAAACATCAATCCATCTTCTTCGGCTTATTCCATAAGGTCCGTGGTGGGACCAATGCCTATCTCCGGCAGTCTGGGCAGCGTACACCTTGGACATTCAACCAAGCACACACAAGGAGAATCTAGAGAAGCCAATTAACCTAACAGTCAGTCAGTTGTTTTTGGACTGTGAGGAAGCCGGAGTACCAAGAGAGAACCCACACTTGCACGGAGATAACATGCAAACTCCATGCAGAAAGACCTAAACATGGTCAGGCAAAGAAAAAAAAGCACCAAGTTTACATCTAATAAATACATATTATTGCATCTGTTAAGTTGGGAAACCATTTAAATTATTTTGTTAATTTTATTTGGTAAGATAATTCAAATTTATTGTCTTTTGATGAATATAGATTTACAAATTAATTCTAAATAACACATTTTATAAAAAGGTGTCATTTTGAAATATAGGCCCTTACGAGGACATTTGCAATAAATTCAACATAAAACCGATTATTAACCCGAATATTTACAGGACCAAAAAGTCCCTTTTTCAGCGTGCTTTTTGCTTTGCTCTATTTAATGTTATCATATTTTAGATTAGAGTTTTGTCTTATATGTACATTTTTTGTTCTCTGTATGAATAAATTAAAATTATTCTGAAGAATCTAACGAGAGATTCTAATGAGATCCACACATAGATGGATATAGATGAAACCATTATTATACATCATTATTTCCTGCTAAACATTATTGTTGATGAAAGATGGGTCCCAGGTATTACAAAGAAGACATTTTAGAAATAAATACAATCGGTTAATAAAACCATGTTATTTTTCTTTTTGCAATTTTTGCTGTAAAAAGTCCCTTTCAACTTTTTAATAATAAGAAGACACTGGCATTTGCTTCTGGTGTTGTTGCATTGTATTTTTTTTTCCTGTGTATAACATTTTGGAGAATGCTTTAAAAAAAGATATCTTCCTTAAAACCATCCCAGCCTGTCAGGGGATCAGTATTCCCAGAGTTTGAAACCCTGACATCAATTTCAGAGCCAAGAGTTTAGTACATGTTTAGAGTTTAGAGTATAAATCCCCATATTTAAAGACAACAGAAACACTTAACTGAACCCTTTTAAATCTATAGTACTGTCTGCATACTGATTAAATGTTTTTATTTTATTTTATTTAAAATTCTTTGTGTTTTTTAGTATCAGACATGTTGACTAAATGCACAATTGTCCAGCTTTTAGAGCTCTCAGGTTCACATCAATTCCCTTCTAAAGGATGAGTGAAATTATGGTCTCTCTAATTTTGTGATATTTATAACTGAAGTAATGATAAAATAAAATGTTTATTTTGTGTGATCAGAAGGAATTTGGGGATCATGATGAGGTAGAGATTATCTGCCTGAAGATTAAATTAGTAAAATACTGAATGTTTTTGCACTAATTCGAGTAACATACATTAAAAAAATATTTAAGTCATAATTATTTAATAAACTCTGGATTTTAATATCTTAATAAATGTTTTAGTAGGTTCTGACTCAAAATTAATAATAATAATAACACTAATAAAACAAAAAAAGGAGCAGGATTAACGGCGCGTGCGGAATGAATTTACCTGCGTCTCGCTCAGACTCAGGCTGTTGGCCAGCTGCTTCCTCTCAGCTCCCACCACATAGTGGTTCTTCTCGAAGGCTCTCTCCAGGCGGAGCAGCTGAGACGGAGAGAAGGCCGTCCGGATGCGCTTTGGTTTCCGGGCGAAAGGGCCGTGAAGGAGCAGGCTGTCCTGGGACACATCATTACCTGCCGGCAGAGTCAAAATAAAACACCTCAACTAAATAAATAAACACCTTGAGTTAAATATCGCTGAGTTACAAAATGTATCCCAATCAAAACATAAAATTTATATGGAGGGGAAAAAAAACCTATACATAAAAAAAATCTTTGATTTATCGCACAAACATTAGTAGTGCTTTTAAAACTTAAACTATTATCAAATGGGTATAATATCCTGGACTATTCAACCTCTACTTTTGTAATTCATTTTGATCGGAGCTGCTTTTTAAATGCATATTTATTTCAGGGCATAATAACCCAATGCTTCCATTAGTTCACATAGAAAATGGTTTTCTTCAGTCTAAATTCGTCTGAATGGATGAATGTGGTCAAATTAGGTAAAACACACCTTTCCTATTTTAAAGCTGTATTTAAACTGGAAGCTTTCTGCTATATTAATTTATCCTTTTTTTATATATAATATCTATTTTTTTCCTAAGATAAATGAAAGTTGTGTGGAAAAAAATAAAATGAAAATAATGTATTTTCACCCCACATTTCGCTCTAAACCGAGCCAATAAATCAGTGCTACCCTTTACCCTTCAGTAATTTTAATTGAATCCCAAATTCTTAGCAGTGTTAAAAGAAACATGAGTGCAGGAAAATGTTGAAAATATTTGAGGCGAATTAAATCGCTCTAAAAATGTATTATTTCCATTAATAAGCGTTTCTATTTTCTTTCTTTCACATGACCTTTTGGGTTATAACATTGCGCACTCCCATCTAAATTACCTTAATGTTTTTAGTTTTAATGATAAATATAAATCAACTAATAAAAAAAGACTATGGCAACCTTTTTTTTTTTTTTTACAAATATATAGTAATGAAACGAAAGATTTGATGGATATAGATGCTGTAATCAACTATTAATCTATATATAATATTAATCTATATAGTTAGCCTATTATCATTAATACCTTTATCATCGATGCTTTCATTACTTGGCTTATATTTTCTCAGTGTTTGTTTTATATGACTCCAGCAGGAAATATTTTGCATGAATGTTTTCTTCTGCTGTGATTTTTGTGAGAAAAAAAAGCCTCTCTACTCTCAGCGCCCGATGTTTCATTATTCAAGTTTATAAGTTACCAATTTATTTGAAAAAGAAAAAGCAAATAAATATTAACCCTTCACCTTAAAAAAAAAAAAAACGATTCAACCTTCTAAAAGAATGATTAGTTTATGAGTCATCATCTTTACGCGCAGACTTCAGAAGCATCCCAAAGCCCAAATCTTTCCATCTCTCTGCAGATCCTTATACCTTGAAATCTGTGTCCAAAAAATCTGTTCCGTAACACCCAGGGGTAGAAGTTGAGGGGGTCCCGGTGCTGCGTGCCGAAGAAGTGCGGATGCTGTAGGTGGGAGCCTCCGAGCTGGTGCGGGGCCACAGTGAGGGACGGATTTACCGACTCCGGGAACACCAGCTCCGAACTCTGGTAGAGGGGCCTGGCCGGGGGCCCCTGGTAACCGTTCATTAAGGCATCCGTCGTCGGGTTGGAGTAACTTAACGCTGTCGGCCGGATGGGGTCCTCGGCTGGCATGGGGCTCTCTTTAGCGACCAGAGACTCTATGGTGAAGCAGCGCTTCCCCGCTGAAGAGAACATCATCTCTAGGTGGGAATTAAACGCAACAATCTGTAGAAAGTCGTTCCTAACTTCCTCTTGCTGTTTAGAGCTGCACCATGACCGAAGCTGGTGGGGTGTCCAATGGTGGGAATAAGACAAGAAAGAGCGGGGGATGCCTACACAATCTAAACCTTCTGGAGATGCTCCTACAAAACTCAACAGCGCTAGAAGTCTGTGCGCTCCCAGAGGGCGTCTGTGCACAAATGCGCACGCAGAAAAAGCGCCCTCAACTCTCTCCCAAGTGGCTTTACGTGGAGCAGGAAGGGAGCTGATTGGACCGGAGCTCCTACCAATTGGTCTCCTGGAGTACCTGCTGCATAGATCACAGGAGTCCGGGCCAGCTTGGTTACAGGCGCACCCTGAGAACACATGCGCGCAGCCAATTAAGGGCCCATTGTGGCTCACATTCAGGGTTAATATGTCGTTTTCCAGTCGGTAGAGAATGTGAGGGAGCTGCTTTAGAATTAAGAATTAATATATTCATTTTGGTTACTTTTAAAAGCTCAATGTTTGAAGAAAAAAAAAAGATTAAAACATCTAATCTTAACCATCGTTTTTGATGTTTTAACATTTAAGTAGTTATATTGTGTTTGCATTTAGAGCATTTTATTCAAAGACAAAATTAAGAACTCAAGATAATTATCTTTGTTTCGCTTTTTTTTAAATTATTATTGTGTTTTGCCTACACAGACTGATGTGCCCATGCCTAAAGGCAGAAAGCTGTCATTTTGATGCTCTTTATGTGTTTAATTTCAGCCAATATGTGTAGCAATGTCACACAAACTTTTAAACTGATATTAAACCAGTTCAGATTGCTTTGTTTTTCTTATTCAGCCCTGGTTCAAATACAGACCTATGCAAATTAATTTATAGGCTTCTCTCATGCAGAAACTGAAAAGAAAAATACTCTTATATACTGCATATTTTGCATTAGTTGCTCTAACACTCTAGTTTCATGTCCTGCCCTGGCAACATGAAACAATTGTGTTAAAGTAACTAAATATGCATAAGTTGATCCAAAAGATGCATTAATGTTTATTTTTCAGTAAATATTCTTTAAAAGAGCGGATGAAAAAAGGACAAATCATAAACCCAATTAATAAAAAGGTAATTCAATTATTTATATGGTTAGTTCTGCGCTATGAAAACCTTCAATAGACAACATACAAAAAAGTGAGTTTGTGTGAACCAATAAATATATTTTTAGTTTAAATTGTTCATTAAGGTTGTTAATTGAAGTCATTCATCTTTAGTGGCTAAGTAGCTAGTAGCTAGCAGCTAGCGCTACCACACTTTGACCAAAGACTCCAGTCTTGCGACAACATACTGATTTAATCACTGATTTTGGAGGCTAAATCATATATATACATAGCAATATATTTTAGATGGCAATTTTAGCTTCTAAAAATGTGTTCAGACAAATGTTTTTGTGTGTGTGGCAGTAGGTGAAGATTTGACTTTAAATCAAACTGAGGGTTTTGTTTTATAATCATTTAGGTTGAATTATGACTCATTTAGTCAACTTAGTGAACATTTGAAATAGGGATTAAGGACTTGAAATATTTAGTTAGGATAGGAAAATGTTTTTTTTCTTCTATTGCAGGGGCGGAGCTAGATGGGGGCCAGGGGTGGCCATGGCCACCCTTAGCCAATCATTGGCCACCCCTGTGGCCACCCCTACCATTTTCCCCCTCTAATACAGATGGTGTCAGCAGTAAAACTCTGAAGGGGAATGTTGAAACTTATTCAATATTTCAATTTTACATAAATTAATAACTACTTTACAACAGAAACACTGTGGTTAATTATGCACATCAGTATACAAACATTAAAGATGATAGATAAAGAATTCATGCTCTTTTCAGAACTAAATTTTGAATTATTTGGGGTAAAGATAAAATGATATGCCTCTGCAAATCATCTAGGAGCCTTCAGTGAAATCATAGATAAATAACTACTTTGATAAAAACTTAAAAATTAATTAATTGTGGATATTAATAAATTTAAATACCGTTTTTTTGCAGAATGTTTATTGATAAATGTAAAATGTGTTCGCCCCAGAGCTCAAACATGAAAGAATTTTGTCCACAGTACCTTTCATGTACACAGCATAGATGTTTAAATATAAGTGTCTATTTGTTGGCAAAGGCTGCAGGAAAGCATAGTTTCTTTTTATTTAGAAAATATGGATGTTGTGCTCGTTCCTGTTAGAACAGTGTAGATTGACCCTGAGGTTCTGGTGCCTTTCAGCCAGCCTTCAATGTACATTGGTTATTGACTGACCACCCCTATTAGGATTTTCTGGCTCCACCTCTGTTCTATTGGTTTTAATCTAAGTATTTTTTTTTCCTGGAACATACATGAGTTAAAACACTGATTAGAATCTACCAAAAATATAAAGCCCGAATATCACACTTATTTAATCCAATTTAATGACCTTATAATTGCGAAACATGCATTGCAAATATAACCCAGTAGTTTTCTGAAGTGTTTTGTTTATGAAGCAGCAGATCCACTTTTATATGCAGCTTTTACAATAAAGTATCCATCCTTGCATTGATTTCGTTCTGGGACAAACCGACAATTTTATATACTGTTATGTGTTTTTTCAGGATTGAACCATCAAACATCTTGAGTCGTCTGAAAAAACATTGAGGTAGAATGCAGAGTCCTGTGGGAGAAAATGCTGCAGCTCCCTTTGTGAGCCACACAAGTTAATCATTATCTGCTTTAGTGCGCTCGTTTGGGTAGAGGTTGCATTAGAAAATCATTACCGATGGAAATGATGAGGTAAAACAAGTTGTTTATTAGGTGTTTAGAGCTAAAGGCTACTAAAGAAGGCAGCAGTTCTGTGAATCAGACTGTCAGCTGTTTTAAACAGTATGTTCAGTTCTTGTTTAAAGAAAACAGAAATAAGAAACAGAAAATAATTATTTATTTTCTCTGATCTTGAATAAGTTTTTGTGTTTTTTAAAATTTCTTAATAAAGATTATAATAAACGATTTGGATCTGCTGAATGAATGGTGCACATGTAAGTGGTGGCTTCATGCATCAACCGTCTCCTTGCTTCACCTTCCAGCAGCAGGAACTTGTAGGTTGACCGATCAGGCTGCAAAGCTTAATGATGAACCCCTGCAGGCCTGTGCGCACTGACCCCCGTCGCTGCTGCTGGTTAATACATGATCAGAACGCAGAGGCTTTTGGACCAAAAACAAAGCAGGGCCTGCAGTTTCCCCTCCCTGTTGTTGATTTCCCAGCCCGAGGCTCTGGGAGAGTCACTCAGTCTGACCACAGGGGGTTTCACTGCGGCTCCTCTGTGGAACTATCAGGACGCCTTTATAGTTCAATCCCGCAGGGTGAGCTGCTTTATTGTGGCTCTAATATTTCTAGTTAAAAGTCGATCGTCTCATATCAGTAATATGATGTTCCTGAAAAAACAAAGCGCGTTGATTTCAGAGAAAGAAGTCAAGCATGCAATATTACACAAAAAGCACCTTGCAGTAATGTTTATTCGCTTGTGCTGCTCTTTAATTAGAACGAATTCTCAGCAGTGTAAAGAAGAAGAAAAGCGATGCATGTTTTTCACTTTTAAAAGAACTCTGAATAGTGTGGCATGCATTTGCATTCATCTACTGAATCAGTTTCACAATCAACTTTACCTGCATAGGTTTGAGATGTTATGTCTCCAAAAGGTTTCTATTTGTTCATTAAATCCTTCAAACTCAGTCAGTCTGGATAGAGAATGTTGAGGTGTGGACCTTGACTGGCCCATTTTTACATCTTTATATAATGTTGGCTCTGTCTGTATGTTTGGGGAGTTTTGTCCTGGTGGGAGATAATTGCAAAGTTTCTGCAGGATGTGAGAGATGTTCTTCCAAGAGTATCTTTGTTTTGAACTCCATCCTTCTTTTAAACCTAAAAAACTGCTTCATTTGTAGAAAATTACCATTTTGTATGGATATGACAATGTTTTGATAATTATTATGCTACCAGATATTACTAGTTGAGTGATTTCAACTGCTGTTTTCAGTTTTTTAAATAAAAATCAACCTATACGGCGGGTTATTTCAGACAAATGCCACTACTAATTATTTGTTATCAGTCTAATCGTTCTCTAAAATGTGCTGCTGATTTTTTGGGGCCAATTCTTACTTTTTTTTTTCTTTTTTTTACAGCTTTAATTTTCATTACACTGCCACAGTACTGAACATTTAATCCATTCCCTTGGGGAGCTATGGTTGCCACCGTGCCGTGCCCAGGTAGCAGTGTGGGGTTAAGGGTCTTTGCTGGGAATGGGGCTTGATCTCAGAACCTCTGGATTCCAAGTGCAGTGCCCAAACCACTAGGCCAAACTCCCCTATTATGATGACACAATTATAAAAAAAAAAAAAAAAAAGGTTAAAAAAGTCTCAGTTTAAACAAAAAAAAGAGGCTACATTTATCAATAAATCCAACAACATTAAAAATAGATAGTAGCTGGAAGTAGCAGGAATGCCGATCCTTCACATAATCTCAAGGCGTGGTCGCTGAATGCTCGGATAAACTGGCCAATGCATGCACATATTGTTCAATACTAATACCAGGAAAAATGCTGATATTGGTCAAAATATTGTCTGGGTGAATATTGGCCTATCTCTAGTTGGGAGTCATATTGTATGCACCCTCTATCTGCTAAGGAATAGATTTTAAAAAATACACATTTTCTAAGCTTGCAGTTCTTGCAGCCAAGTTTCATAATCAGTTGAGTGTATTTTTAGAATTTCTATACACCATGAGTGCCAGACCAAATTAATATGTTATAGATTATGGATTAAAACAATATATTCATAAGTTTTAGTTGGTGATCATGCCATTAATAATGTAAAGTAAAATCTGTGAGGGTCAACCGTGGGCCTATTAACTCACAGATGATAATAAAAGAGGGTGCTCTACATTAAATTCTGCTCAGGGCCCTCCAAAGTTTTGCCCGGCTCTGGTTGTCAAACACAGAAAACATAGCAAGTCCTAAACGACTGTAGCTGAATGAGCAAGATGGGAAAATAACTTTTAATCCAATATTCTTTATTTGAAAGGTGGCTTGAAATCTACAGTAATTATGATGTAAATATTTTACCAAAATACAGCATATTTATTGTTAGGAAGTAGGAAGACATTTTATAAAGGGATACAGTCAGGGTTGGTTAAAGGGTCCCAAGAAAGAAAAGACCACAGAGAAAGGTAGGTGCTGCCCTC